GGGGGGGATTTTGTTTGCCGGCAGGTGTGTCTTCATGATGTTTGTGCTATCAACTGTTCCTTTTATTGACTAGAATAAGTTTACATGATGGTGTTCATTGCCTGGTGGTAGCTAGCCCATTGTTGGACTCTGGAGATGGAGAGTTCAAATCTTATTGCCACGTTTGGACTGGTGTCTTTTAGAGTTTATATTTTTTTACTCACTCGTACTATAGCTTGTGTGAGATTATGTATGCCAGGCTACTGGCGTGTGGTGTCGGTAAATGTGTGGCGCACGAAGATGCGTGTAGCACTCACAGAGCTCTGTGTTTGGAGGGCTCGTTGTTTGTACATTTGTAGTATTTTAATGCAAAAAGGTGCTGTTTTCATGTTGAGCTAGATGTTTTGATTGTTCATAGCTTGACCTATGGGCAGGCTTGGGTCTTTGCACACCTCGCCTCAACTAACCAGTGACCGCCCAATGACGAGGTGACCGCCTGATGGTGTCATTTACTTTTGATACAGTCTACTAATCTTTGTAAATGTCTGGTCGACATTTTTTGGTCAATCTGTGATACGAGTTTATTGTAAATTATATGGAACTTTTTTCATCCATTTTGTCTTTGTTGTACTCTATAAACCTTTCTTCTAGGTGATGTCTGCTGTCTTGTTGACATGCTGCGTGCCTTGTCTTTGACATATGGCATGTCATGTCATGTCATACTCATACATATATGTCTTTTGCTAGATCATAGACGCATCATGTGTCATGTCATAGATACATAGTGTGTTGTGTCATAGCAACATGATGTGTCCTGTCATAGATACATAATGTGTGATGTCATAGATACATAGTGTGTCATGTCATAGATACATAATGTGTGATGTCATAGATACATAGTGTGTCATGTCGTAGATACATAATGTGTTGTGTCATCGATACATTATGTGTCCTGTCATAGATACATATTGTGTCGTGTCATAGATACATAATGTGTCATGTCATAGATACATAATGTGTCGTGTCATAGATACATAGTGTGTCGTGTCATAGATACTTGATGTGTCGTGACACAGACATATGGTGTGTCATTTCAAAGACAGGTTGTGTGTTGTGTGACAGACATGTCATATATCATGTTTTAGACATGCGTTGGTGTGTCTTAGATGTGACATGTGTCGTGTCACAGACTTGCAGTGTGTATGTCATATACATACTGTGTGGGGTGTGGTAGACCTATCATGTGTAATAGATATGTGTGTTATTTCTATGCAGTGTGTCAAGTCGTAGATGTGCCTTGCATCATGTCATAGACATACCATGTGACATGCATATATGTTATGTCATAGACGTGCTGCATGTCATATCACAGAATATTGTGTGTCACAACTGTGCTGTTTGTTCTGTCCAAGACATGTTTTGTGTCATGTCTATACTATGTGTCAAGTTTTAAACACACAGTTTGCTGTACCATAGACATGCTGTGTTTATTATTATAGGAAAGCAACGTAGTACAATGTTGTGTGCAGATGGCAAATTGTTGATGATGTTTTTAATGTACCCTTAAAATGTGATGAGAGAATTTTTAAGGACTTTGGAGATCAGTATACTCTTCAGCCAATTGAACAAATGGGACGAGAAATTAAAAAAATTGTGAGACATTTATTGGAAAGATAATAGTCAATAAACCCTTCTTTGAGAGAAAACTATATTGCGACATTCACATGTTCCTGTTGTCAAGAGTTCAGTGGTAAGGTCAGATGAAGAGAATGTTTCCAGAAATGGTTTTAGGGATGAATTGATTATGGTTCTTACTATGTCAATGTGTGTTGGTTTTCAAGGCCCTAATAATACCTTCCTAACAAAGTCACATTGGTGTGGAAGATTAGGAGTGTCTTTTTTTGCCATTTCTGGTATTTGTGTCAAGTCACAGACATGATGTTTTTAACAATTAATACAAAAAAATGGGTGTGTTTGTTGATCAGTGTAGTGATGTAACATGATTTGGGGGGGGGGGGGGCTGTAAGTGAAAATGTGTCAACTTGATCTTCATGCTATCTGCTTTTAACTTTTCTTGGCTAGGACAAGCTCACAAGGTCAGTATATGTGCACTCTGAGACATATATGATAATCTAGACACAGTAATATACCTAGTCTTTCAGAGGACGAAGTGTCTCACTCTCTTGGCTCAGTGTCTGCACAAAAGGCTGTGGCTGTCTGTATAGGCTACAAACTGAAGATGCCAAACATCATGTCCCAGACTGGGGCCCGGGCTTGCTATTAGCTCAGTTGGTACCATGCTGAGCTAAGGTGCAGATGACCTTAGTTCTAATCCACAATGGAGCCTTCTTGAACTTGGATTATTTGGGGAGTTGTCAAAGCTCTCTGCCTACTTTGCTTGATCCTATTGGATCAAAGTCCTGCCTTACAGTGTTGAAAAGGGTGTTAGACATGTACAGGTTTTTTTATGTTCAGCCACACCATAAGGCCAGTGAAGAATGACAGTGTCAGTTGTTACTATCTCTCGATGTTACAAGGTGACTGACATCTTGTGTAATGGAAACTGACCACTTGACATTCACTGGTTCACTGGTCATTAAAGCATTGATTGTCCGTCTCCACCCGGTTGTTTCGCTGATGCTGGTCGGAACCATGCCTTTCAAAATGAACCCTCGTGAGCATCAGGCCACAGACCTTTATCTCACTTTGTTGATCTCATGAGCTAGCCAGGCTGTGGTGCCTAGTGCTCTGAATTCAGTCGCTATTTTCATTTTTCTCTTTTTTATTTAGCCTTGTAATTTTTTTTGCCTAGCAAAAGGGTAGTGGGACTTAGTCCTGACCTTGTTGGAGTCCTGTGTGTGCCTTCTGTCCTGTTCATATTCTGTGAAGTGTGGGAGTATATGGTACTGAGAAGTCTATTGCATGTCTGTGAGTGTACCTCTTGTCTTGTTCATTCATATTCTGTGGACTGTTAAAGTTTCTGTTGTCTAAGTTCATGTGGCATAGATCGTACTGTTTCTTGTCTGTCAGTGTGTTTGTCATTTCCTGTGGCAGTGTGTTAAGTAGGTGTCATTTCATGTGTCAGTGTGTTCAGTATATGTCACTTCATGTGTTGGTGTGTTCAGTATGTGTCATTTCATGTGGCAGTGTGTTCAGTGTATGTTAATCCATGCGGCAAATGTCTCCCTCTTGCAATCTTTGTATTCTACCTGATTGATTGTTGTGCTTGAAAAACTAACTACCAACTTTGTTGTAATTTATTGAAATTTTTATTTGTTTATTTTCTATGTAGACATTGTGGACTTTTGTTTTAACTGAGCTGTCTGCCCTCCTGCTGGGCACACAGTTAAATTGTACAGAAACTCTATGAACCGTGTTGAAGGTCACTGACCTTTTAAATGATGGTTGGGCGGGTGGAAGCGTCCACTTCTTCACAGACAATTGTCCCAAGTCAAGATTCTGACTCCGTCAGTGACAAACTGTATTACAAGACGGCCGTCAATGAGCACAAAGTTGTTAATGAGCCTGTGGCCAGTGTACTTCTCTCTGTCTCTAGTGCTGGACAACAAGAGCAACGCAACAATAACTTAAGCTATGACAATCGTGTCAACAACAACAATAACATATCAACAACATCAACATATCAACAGCAACCACAGTCATTTCAACACTGACATCAACTCTACAACCAATAATGTTGTCAGAAGCAACAAGAAGGATATAAATGATCACCATGTCAAACACAGTATCAACTCACAAACATAAGGGTAGCTGCAGCATAACAATATCAACGTGGACAACCATGATAACAATGACTGTGCCACTGTCGGTCAGTTAGTCAACAGCAAAATTCAACAACAGCTATTGCAGCAACGACTTCAAAGTCTGCTTTTTAATACTCGCATCATCCATTTTTGCAGCAACAATATTGGCAAGAACGATACCACATCACCACCACCACCACGATCAATAACAACAACAACAACAACAACAACAACAACACAGACAACACTTAAATTCGACAACAGCAAAGCCAACAAGAACAACATCAGCACCAGCACAATCCAGGATAACGCCAGGGACGCCAACAACACAACACGTATGACTTATGTGACTGTGACCAGTGGCTATCAGAAAGCAGGGGATACAGCAGTCGTAGCTGACGCTAGGCACTGGTCACTCGCTGTGTTCTCCTGTGTTGTGAGGTATCAATAAATATTATATCTTTGACCTTCGTCTGGGGTTTGCCTTGACTTTTTCTTTGAATAGTAGTATGCCGTCCCCAACGCTGTCAGCAGATGTTTGTGTTTGTGTCTGCCAGTTTATCTTTGTGTATCCTGTCTTTCTTTGGTTTGTTCTTTGTCTCTTTATAAATTCCCCGCCTCTCTCGTTGTCTGTTACACGTATCTGCCTGCTTCTGTCTTTGTTTGTCTAGTTTTCTGTCGTTCTAATAAATCTTGGTCTGACTGATTGTGTCTGCATCCTTTCTTTTTGTGTCTTTGTCTCTTCTGTCTGCTGTACTTTGTTTTTGATTTTTTTTTTTTCGCTTTTTTTTAAAGTTTGTTTGTGTTATTGTCTCTGTCGTTGCTAGTCAGTCCTTTCTGCTTTCAGTAACATAGTCTTTCATTTTTTGTGTTTCTGTCTGTCTGCTAGTTTTTGTTTGTCTCTCTGTCGGTTTATTTGTCTGTCTGTCTTTCTCTCTCACTCTTTC